CAGATGAGAGGAGGGATGGGATTGGGGTTCAGGGTGTTAGAATTGGTGTTTTGTTTTGTTTTGTTTTGGTGGCTAACCAGAACAGGCATCCAAACCCTTGACCTTGGTATTACAACACTACACTCTAACCAACTGAGCTAACCAGCCAGCCCCTAGAATTGGTGTTGGATGTAAGTTTGAGATGGATTCATGGGGAGGATATTAACATGAGCTTCACGGAATATGACAGGGATGGAGAATAAAGTCTGAGTTAAGCATGCGGCAGGTTTGGGACTGAGGCTATGGTGACATTTAGTTCTTGGGTCAAGGTTGAGTTTGTCTTACGGTTAGAAGTTCAGGGCTCAGGTCAAGAGTCAGGGTTAAGATTGGTTGAGGTCTGGATCCTAGCCTGAGGTGATATTTGGAGTCACGAACTTGGTCCAGGTTTAGGTTCCGGTTGAAGTATAAATTGGGGTTGGTCAAAGATAAAGCAGGATTTGGGGTTAGGATTGGTATGAATTGAGGTTTGGGGTTAAGACTAGGGTTTGTGTCAAGATGGGTGTTGGGAGTTGTGTCAAAGTAAGGGTTGGAGTTAGAGTTATGCTTGAGGTCAGGGTCTGGAGGTCCTTCTCACCTATCAGAAGCATTTGGATATATGTGACCATGCCTTTTCGATGAACGGCACCATCATCCATCCAGAAAGAGACTTTAAGGCCTTAACATCTCCCTCTACCACACCACAAATGCCATTTAATCCATCACCAAGGCCTGTTGATTCTCTCTCCTAAGTGCATTTAGAATCATTCTCTTGGACATCTATTTAATGTTGTCTCAGCCTCTCGATGACCCTTATCCAAGTCACCATCATCTCTCTCCTAGACAGCAATAATGACTTCCTCATAGTCTCCCAGTGTGTTCACATCCCCCAAAATCCACCCTTCATACAGCAACCAGAGTGATATTTTGAGAATACAAATCTTGTTCTGTTATTCCCCTGACTAAGGTCCAAGTGGTTCTCCATTGTCCACAGGATAAAGTCGGACTCACCATGACACATAAGGGTCTTTATTGTCTGGTCCCAGTCAACCTTTGGTCTCTGAGTTCCATCTATACCACATTCCAACTCAGGGCCTTTGCACATGCAGTTTCCTTTACACAATATACTGTCCATGCTCCTCCCCATATTCTTCTAGTAAATACTATTCTGTCAACTCTCAGCTCATTTTCACTTCCTAGGTCAAAACCCCCTGGCAGTACTTTCATAATACCCTGAACCTTTCTTTCAGAGCACACATTATAGTCGTAATTTTACATTTGTTTATGAATTATTTGATTATTTTTCTTTTACTTTTTCTTTTTCTTTTTTTTATATTATTTTATTTGTATTTTTATTTTATTTTTATTTTTTAAGACTGTCAGCTCCTCGAGGAAAGGGACTCTATCCAAGTTTGTGAATCATTGTATCCTCAGTACGTAGCAAAGCATGGTATTTAATTGGTGCCCAGTACATATTTATTAAGTGTGTAAAAGATTGGTTCTGAAATGAGATATGGGATTAAGGCTGGAGAGAGAGCTAGAACTCAAGGCAAGTTTGGGTTTGTGGATTAATGTGGCTTCAAAATATGGATTCAAGTTAATTAGATTTGGATTACTATTTTGGGACCAGATTTTAATTGAGTCAAGATTTGGACTCAACACTAAGGTCTTAGTAAGAATGATTTTGGCTACAAAGACCAAACAGCGTTAACCCAGAAAGGAAATCTGAAAAAGTCATGAGATGAAGGCGCTCCATAGTTTGTGAATTCACTAGCTTGGTGACCTCATCAAAGACCCATATGGTCTCCATCTCTCTCTTTGTCCATCTACAGTGTTTTGGCTTGGTCCACCAGCCTCTTCCCTGCATGGTCCCACAGTTCCAAAGTTTGCATCCAGAAGGGACACCATTTAGCAGAAAAAAGGAGAACTCTTCCAATCTCTGTTTTTGAAAATAAGGAAGTCTTTCCCAGAGGTACCCCGGGGCTCTGCCCCTCACTCTTCAATGGCCATGGCCAGAGCTGGATCACATATCCATTTCTAAACTAATCACTGGCAAGCAAACTATGGCTTCTGCTATGGTTTGAATATGTCCCCCAAATTTCATGTGGTGGAAACTTAATCCCCAAATTCATACATTGATGTTGTTTGCTGGGACCTTTGGGAGGTAATTAGCACTGGTAGCTTTATAAGAAAAGAAAGAGAGACCTGAGCTGACATCCTCCTGCCTTCACATCATGTAATGACCCCCCATCATGTTATGATGCAGCAAGAAGGCCCTCACCAGATGCTAGCACCATGCTATTCAACTTCCCATCCTCCACAAACCATGAGCAAAATGAACTTCATTTAGTATAAGTTACCCAGTCTCAGATATTCAATTATACTAACAGAAAATGGACTAAGACAGCTTCCATGCTTGTTTCATCAAGGCTTACAATCATGATGAGGATAAAGATTACCCAAACAAAATCATGGTTCTAAAAGAAAGGCAGAAGGAGTGAATGCTTGGGTAGTCAACAATAATGTCTACTGTGGGTCAAATTATGGGTCAAAGACAGAATTGCATTAGGAGTCAGGACTGAGCTAAAGTTTGGGCTCAGAGTTGAGGAATGAATTACATTTGGGGGTCTGAGTTAGAGGTTGAGGTGAATTCCCACTTTAAGAATTTGTCTTGGGGCCGGCCCGGTGGCGCACTGGATAAGTGCACCGCTTGGGAAGCGCGGCGGCCCTCCCGCCCGAGGGTTCGGATCCCACATGCAGACCGGTTCCCGCTCACTGGCTGAGCGAGGCACGGGAGCAGTGCCGAGGTTTGCAATCCCGTTGCCGGTCCCCAGTCCGGTACGGGGGCAACACTGAGGGTTGCGATCCGTTGCCGGACACGGAAAAAGACAAAAAAAAAAAAAAAAAGAATTTGTCTTGAAGTGATCATCAGACAATTGTTCCCATCTTACTCAAAGTAAAAGCCAAAGTCCTACATTGACCTTCAAGGTCATACACGTCCTGCTGTATTTCTGGCCTCCTTGTCCACTCTTGTCTCCTTTGCTTATTCAGCTCCAATCTCTATGGCTTTCCTACTGGGAACACTTTAGGCACGTCCTTGCAGTTCCAGGCAGAGGGCAAAGAGCCTGTCGGTTCAGGTCTCTCTTCCTCTTTTTAAAAAGCTACCAGTCCCATCATGGGGGCCCCACCCTGATGACCTTACCTAATCCTAATTACCTCCCAAGGGCCCCGCCTCCAAATACCATCAACATGTGAATGTGGGGATTAAGTTTCCAACACATGAAATTTGGGGGACATACCTGCCTGTTCACTCTGGCTGGAGCTCACTACCCCCAAGCAGCCAAAAGGACCTTTCAATCACCTCCCTATAGATTTTGCTCAAATGTCACCTTCCCGCGGAGTCTTTTTACCATCTTTCCTAATATATAACCCAGGGTTCCCTGAGAGTGGAGAGAACCAATAACTCCCTAACCCTCTTCCTTGCCTTTATTTTTCTCCATAGCACTTACCACGACTTAACAAACTCTATCTTTTACGTACTAATTTTTGTACTGAGATTCTCTACACGATAGAACCAGAGCCTCTATTGAAGTTAGGAATTTTTGTCTGTTCACTGCGGTTTCTCCAGTAGCCAGAATAGTTTCTGGCACAGAGTCGATGCTCAATGGATACTTTCTGAATAAATGCAATGAGCTAAGATGAATGTACAAAAAGAAGTTCATCAGCATTATGACAATCAAAACTAATCAAGTTACTTCAATTTGAAACGGATTACATAAATCATGGCACAGCTATAGTACAGAATATTACACAGCCATTATAAAGGAAAGAGAAATGATCTAAATGTACTGAGAGAAAAATTTTAAAGATATTTTATAGAGTAAAAAAAGATTACGTTAGATAACTTTTAATACAGACATTTTTGTGATAAATACGTAATACAGAGAGCAACCTATGCGTAATATGATTGAAAGTGACTATGAGAACACAAACTAAATTGATAACACTAAGTATTTAGTGGGGTGGAGTTAGGGAACGTGTTCTCTTTTTAATTTATACCTCTATATTAGGGTTGGGAATAAGTTCAGGCTCAAAGGCACGTCTGGGATCCAGCCCTGGACAGGTTCCCACAGGCTGATGAGAATAAGGGTGTAGGGTCTAGGCCACCCCTGGGAGGGGGTGAGGGCGAGAAAATGGCCCCAGGGCAGGAGCAGGGCCAGAGCCTATTCCCTGAGCTCTGCGCCTCCTTAAATCCTGCTCCCGCCCCTCAAAGCCGGTGCACCTGTCCCCTCCCCGCCAGCAGCCGGGAGGGATGCTGGGCCCAGAATGTGCGGGGGCGAACTAGCCGGTACCGCCCGGCCCGGCTTCTGGAGGGCGGGGGGAGAGAGCAGAGAGGCGCCAACTGCTTTGGCTGCCTCTGGGGTTCTCGATAACCAAAACCGCAAAGGCAAACGCAGGAAGGGGGTGTCTCAGTGTCGACTCCGCCTGCACCCCAGGGCGCTGGGGGCGGGCGCGGGGGCAGGGGTGGTATAAGAGGACGGCCCTGCAGAGGGCTGAGACGCTTGGCTCCCAGCTGAGTCTGCAGCTTAGATCAGATCAGACCTCCCGAGGTGAGAAGGGGTCTAATCCAGGGAGTGGTGGGGGAGGGAAGGTGATTCTGGCTGGGCAGCTGATTCTTGCTCCTGAAAAGACAAGGGCTGGGGCCTCGGGGATTGGGGGTCTGGAGTTTGGGGTGTCTTAGGGAAAAAGAGACTGAGGATTCAGACTTATGGGTTCCATGGGTTGGAGAGGGGTGGGGGCCTAGATTCCTGGCTTGCTAGTGGTCTGGGGGACTGGACTCCTGGATCTGGGGTGGGGGGCTGGAGCTGGACTTCTGGTCTGAAGGAGGAGGGGGCCAGGGCTGGATTCTCACTTCCTCAACCCTTTCCCGTTCTTAGCTCCAGCAGAGGAAGTCCTTCCTCGTCTGGCAGCCTCTGAGAAGCTCAATGGCGGGATCGCTTCTCCCACCCCTGCCGGTCCTACTGCTGTCCTTAGCCCTGGGAACTGCTGGACAAGAAGGTGAGGGCCAGCATGTCTGACAAATCATCTCCTCTGTCCAATGGTGACCCTAAGTCCCCATAAAACTCCTCCTGGGGTTGAAGAGCATAGGCTTTGGAATCAGGCTGACCCAGGTTTGAATCCCAGCTGGGCAATGTGTGACTTAGGGCCAGTCTTTGAGCCCTTCGTCCCCTCTTTGAGCCTGCTTCCTCAGCTGTCAAACACAGGTGAGGACACCTTCTTCCAGCGCTGTTGTGATGATTAGATTAAATCATAGAGGTGAAAGTGCTTGCTACAGGCCTAGGCACAGGGTTAGGGGCTCAGTTAATGCAACTATCATTATTACCAGTCTCGGTGGGACATCACAAGGATATGATGAGATAATGGATATAAAACGTTTTTCTGCCAAAAAATTAAAAATAGAAATAAAAATTAGATGAACATAAGGGGTTTTTATAGACCAGTGCTCTCTGAAGTGAACCGCAAAAAGTTGGTTCCCTGCAATGTTTTTTTTTTTTTCCTTTTTGTCTTTTTTCGTGTCCGGCAACAGATCGCAACCCTCACCGTTGCCCCCGTCCC